ATCACCTCCAACCAGGCCCCTCTTTTAACACATAGGGATTACAATTCGACATGAGATGTGGGTGGGGACCCAGAAACAAACCATATCACTCATTAAGAAATAAAGTCCAAGTTTATGCCTGGCTCAAAAATTTCACCTCCTTGGCTGGATCATAAGGTTGTACTGAACACTGAATGAAGTCATTTAAGTAAGACTCTTTTTTTTTTTTTTTTTTTTGAGATGGAGTTTTGCTCTTGTTACCCAGGCTGGAGTGCAATGGTGCGATCTCAGCTCACCGCAACCTCTGCCTCCTGGGTTCAGGCAATTCTCCTGCCTCAGCCTCCTGAGTAGCTGGGATTACAGGCACGCACCACCATGCCAGGCTCACAGTGCCACATAGGGGTTAGCCACTGCCATTGGCATCATTATTGCTATTGCTATTATTATTATCCTTTTACTCCCTTGGTTTATAGTGTTTGTTTTCTTAGCTCTTTCTTGTTTCTTTCTATTAGGTACTAACCTTTAAGAACTGACCTAGTTTTTCTTTTCTTTGAAATTTTCAGGGGGAGGAAGGAATTCTTCTAAAAGATAATCTGATGTTTTGTTGCATGTGTTCTAAAAAATCACCCCATAGTTTCAGTTTCTCAATATCTCATCATTCCATGAGAAATCAGCCTTATCTCTTCCATGGGAAATATTCATCAATGTATTCAGATAATGACAGATGGATGAATGCTGCAAACAGCTTAAATCTGAGATTAAATGTTTTCTCAAAGAAATGGAGCAGGGAAAAGGTAGTAAAAGTAATCAGTAAGTAGAATAATAATTATGCCTAAAAACATCCTGTTGCTTAAGTAACAAAAGAAAGAAAATTCTACACTTCGTTGAGAAGAATTTCTGTTGAATAAAACTTAATAAGCTAATGGGAAACTGATCTGAAAGTCAGGAAAAAGTTCACTCCAAAAAGATAGAATGCATTACATTCTACCTATTTGAAGAAAATACCTATGGAATGAATTGAAATATAGTCCACTTAGTCTTCATGCTGTTATTTAGGAAAGAATCTGGAGCAGATGTGAGTGCCAGGTGACAATCTTATGTATCAGTTCATTGCACCACCTTTAAATTCAGAGAGTCACTGATTCTACTAGTTTCTACTTATTGTCTCCACCTTTTAATAACCAAAGTTGGACAGGCTACTTAACTTCCCTGTGCCTACGCATCCTCATCCATAAGAAAGAGAATAATAGAATTTACCTTACAAAGCCAATTTGAAAATAAAATGTAATAATGCATATGAGTTGAGGAGAGCAGTGTCTGTCCTATCATAAATAATAAATATTATCTATTACTATTCCAGGGCTCCTTTTCAGTTTTGTGAAAATAATTAGATGTTTTAGGAGCATGAAATTACTAGCTTTCCAGCTAAAATATTCTCAAATCTACAAAATATAGAGCTATATACACATAAAACCAGCTTTTAAAAAGTCAGTCATAGAGACTTAGATTCAGACTTTCCTTTGTTTTTTCTTTCTTTAATTAGATCTTGGGTTCAGAGTTGAATTAATCACTCTCCTCAGATCGTGGCCCACTAAGACTTTACCAGGTCCCTCTCTTGTCTCATTTAAATTTTATTTTCCCCTTTGTTCTTCAACTCTACTCTCCTTCCTTCCCTAGCTATCCAACACACACTCTCATACACACACACACACAGTAGGTTTATATATGTATATATATACATATATGTATATTTATATATATAAATATAGGTTTGAAAAGATATATGTTGAGTTTTTATGCATGTATGGTTTTTAGTTTACATAGATAAAATTATATTACAGATCTTAATCACCTACATATTTTATTCAACATAATACTTATAAAATCTACTTGTTTCTGTGTATACATCCAGTTCATAGTCTTCAACTGCTGCACAGTGTTCCCTGCAGCCATATATATATATATATGTATATTTACAGGATATACCCTGTAAATCCTCTCTCCCTCTCCCCCCCCGCCCCTCTCTCTCTCTCTCTCTCTCTCTCTCTCTCTCTCTCTATATATATATATATATATATATATATATATATATATATATGTATATTTACAGGATATACCCTGTAAATCCTCTCTCCCTCTCCCTCTCTCTCTCTCTCTGTGTATTTACAGGATATACCCTGTAAATCCTCTCTCCCTCTCCCCACCACCCCTCTCTCTCTCTCTCTCTCTCTCTATATATATATATATATATATATATATATGTATATTTACAGGATATACCCTGTAAATCCTCTCTCACTCTCTCTCTCTCTCTCTCTCTCTCTCTCTATATATATATATATATATATATATATATATATATAAAATGGGAAACTGATCTGAAAGTCAGGAAAAAGTTATATATAGAGAGGGGCTGGGGATTTACAGGGTATATTTGAAATACTTATTTCAAAATAGATTTAAATTTTGCAAATAGCTTTTTTATGGTCTCTTATCCACATGTTGACCACATTGTTATCATTGAGCAGAAGATCTTATTTTTATCTAGCCCAATCATCTATTATTTTTCTCTATGGTTTATGTTTTGGAGTTGTTATATAAGCAGCACTCTCTGCATCTCCAGCCAAAGTCACAAAAAATTTTACATTTTCTTTCAATAGCTTTTCAAAATGAGCGAAGACAGGCACTAGTTATAGTAGCAAGGACAGATTTTAGTCAGTAATACTATTGCAATAGGGAAGAGGATCCAGTGTGATCCAAACTCAACTTTGTCAAAACAGCAGGCTGAAGATTTTTGAAGGGCTTGGGTATACTAAGGAAAAGGCACTGAGGGGTATGCAGGAGAGTTAGACTGTGGGAGTAGGACACCTGGATTTGATAGCTTGTGCTTCTCAGGAGGAAAAACACACTTCTCCCATATTTATGATAGGATGCAGTGGTGCACCTTGAAGCAAGGCATCTGGCTTAGCCTATTTGTGTTATTATAACAGAATACCTGAGACTGGGCAATTTATAAATAATAGAAATTTATACTCTCATAGTTCTAGAGACTGGGAAGCCCAAAATCAAAGCACCAGCATCTGGTGTGGGCCTTGTTACTATATCTTCACATGGCAGAAGGCAGAAAGAAGATTAAAAGAGGAACTCTGTGTCTTCATAGGAAGAAGAGAAAAAGAAAGCAAACCCATTCTCACAAGCCCTTTTATAAAGTCATTAATCCTTCCATTAAGGTGGAGCCCCATGAACCGAACACTGGCCAAAAGGCCGCGCCTCCCAACGCTGTTGCACTGGGGATTGATATGGTTTGAATGTTTGTCCTCTCCAAATCTCATGTTGAAATGTAATCCCCAATGCTGAAGGGCATGTGTGGATCATGGGGAAGGATCCATCATGAATGTTTTGTAGCCATCCTCATGGTAATGAGGGAGTTATTGTTATATGATTTCAAGCAAGAGCTGGTTGTTTAGAAGAGTCTAGCATCTTTCTTCCACTGCCTCTCTCGCCATGTGACATGTCTGTTCTCCTTTTGCCTTCTGCCATGAGTTAAACCTTTCTGAGATCTCACTAGAAGCCAAGCAGATGCCTGTGCCATGCTTGTACAGATTGCAGAACCATAAGCCAAATAATCCTCTTTTCTTTATAAATTACCCAGTCTCAGGTATTCCTTTATAGCAACTCAAAATGGACTAACACAGGCATTAAGTTTCCAGCACATGAATTTCAGAGGAGATAAAAACATTCAAACTATAGCAGCACCCATGAAAGTTAGGCCTTTATCCTCCCACAGGATTGAGAGACGGAGCTAGAATTGTCTCCTTAATTGCTTGCCTTTTAAAGAGAGATGGCTCTCAGGTCCATGAGAAAACAGTTTGAATTGATAATTTTATACCTCAAACAGCATAAAAAGAACTTATAGTTATAAGCCTTTTAAAGTAACTGCTTTAGGAGTGGGTTCAGGGCTATTTTTGTTCTCCAGGAAAGCAGAACCATTAGGATAAGCCAGGTAAAAAAAATAATGTTTCAGATCAAGTAGTCAGGCAGAAGTTTCCCCATATATGCTGGAGGGTCAGCCTTTTTGTTTCATTCAGGTCTTCAACTGACTGAACAATGGCCACCCACATTTGAGAAGGCAATCTGCTTTACTTCAACCACAGATTCAAATGCTAATGTTCTGTAAAAAACATCCTCACAGACATGCTCACAATCATTCTGAAAAACACCGTCACAGATATGCTCACAATGATTTTCAATCAAATATCTGGGTACTCCATGGCCCAATTAAGTTCACACGTACAATTAAGTATCCCAGGAGCCTGCCTGCCTGTCGCGAGGTTTTGGCTGTAACAAACTAAATGCTCGGTGGCATCGCACTTTGTCAGGAAGGCATTCTAAGGGACTGGAATCATCCTAGAGACAGTCTTATACCATTTGAAGCCATGTTAGAGTTTGATCATCCTTTAGTGCAGTGGTTTGGACAGAGTTGTTATGTTTAAAGAGTTCTGGAGTTCTCACGTTGTAGAGTTTGTTTTTACATTAATTTATCTGGAGTTTATTTTTGTATATTCTAAAATGTGACCATGCAACAGAGAGGAAGTCCCACCTTACCTGGTTCTGATATGCATGATATTCCATTAATGTGGTATAGTTAAAGAACACATCTCCCCACAACACAGGTGCAATGTCCGTTACCATAGTATATTAATTATGAGTAATTCCACTAAGCACGAAACTTCACTGCCACCTTTTCAGTAGGTCACTGACCAATCGCATCGCTTCTTTTAAGGTTGGTCTGTGATTAGCCACTACACATCTATTACTTAGTTCACACACAGACACAAAGGATGTACTTTTGATGTCTTCTTGTTTCCCAGTGATAAACCCATGTTATAATGTGCAAAAATGGGCAATCAAAAGAGGAATTGGGCAACAAAAATAACAGTGCAGCAAAGAAATGGAAAATGGTCATGATAGAAGTAAAATTCAAATTGAACATAAACGGAATTACAGAAGAAATAACTTACCATGAAAACGTTGAAACTGCCACTCTTCCAGAGAGTAGATATCCTGCCAGGGGAACTTAGTGAAGGCGAGCCTATGGGCATAAACGAGAAAAGTATTTGTGACAAAAAGGTTGCAGATATCCCAGGGGAAGTGATGCCAACAAAAACTTTGCATTGAAAGAATTCTCAAACATTATTTCACAGCATTGAAAGTGCCAAAGATAAACTGTTGAAAGCGGATTTAAACTTAACAAAGAGTATAACAATTCCCTAAGGCATAGAAAAAGATGCTTGCTTTGATATATATACAATATATTATCTTTATTTATTTATTTATATGTGTATATATGAATGATGTGTGTGTGTGCATGTGTGTGTGTGTGTGTGTGTGTGTCACATAGTATACAACGAGAAGACAAAATTATTCTTGGTAAGTTCTTTTTTGAAAAAAGTTTTAATTCTCAATTTTCTAATGTTTTAAATTAGTCAACTAAGTAAACATTAATGTTACTTAAAATTTCACATACATTTCTGACACTGTTTACAATGTTTTGAGAACCATTTTTAAAGGTTACAGAACAATCTTAATTTTTCTCACTGATTATTAAAAGTACTTTATATAGTTTCATTTTCCTAATCCCACACTACCATACAAAGCAAAAGCTGACTCTGTGTGTGCATGTGTGTCTGTTTGTTTAACATACATAATACTTACACATTCTTTTGAGATTCCAAATTATATTATTCAAGTCTTTGCTGATATCAGTTTGCTTGACCTGTCAATCTCTAAGAGAGGCATATTAAAGTTTGAACTGAAATTTTTGTTTCCCATTATTGTTATCTAGCACTCCACTTTAAGACTATGTTATTATTACTTTATGTTATATTCCCTTTCGGGTTTTTTATACAGGTTTTTACTTTTCTTGTTTCCTTCAAATCTCATTTGTCCTTTTATATTTCCATCTCTTTGTTTCGTCGTCTTCGTGCCTTGTTTAAGAGTTCTTCAATCTGATTTTCTAACTCTTTACTTTGTTCTTTTTTTGTTGTTGTTCTAGACAGAATCTTGTTCTGTCACCCAGGCGAGAGTGCAGTGGCACGATCATGGCTCACTGCAGGCTCAGCCTGGGCTCAAGCGATCCTCCCACCTCAGCCTCCTGAGCAGCTGGGACCACAGGCATGCACCACCACATCCGGCTCATTTTTGTATCTGCTGTAGAGACTATGTTGTCCAAACTGGTCTTGAACTCCTGGGCTCAAGCAATCCATTCACCGTGACCTCCCAAAGTACTGGAAAAACAGGCATGAGCCACTGCACCCAGCCCAGTTTGTTCTTCAGCTATGCCACACTGCTATTTAATATGTCTGCTGAATTATTTCAACTAAAATATTCATATATCCAACATCTCCAATTGGTTTTTCTCTACAGGTGCTTATTCCTGTTTCATACTTCTCATACTGCTCTGTTTGGAGGAATATTTACTAGACTAGTCTTAAAATCTTGTTCTGTCTTGTCCTTTTATTCTAATTCAACTTGTTTCATTGTTTAATTTGCTGTCTTTCTTTCTGTTACAATGCTTGTAACTATCCACTGTCTATTTTTCTTGGGAAAGTCATCTGAGTTTCAATAGTATCAGCTATTGAAAACCTAGAGAAGAGTCTGTGCCTGTCCTGGTCAGAAAAGGGAGTAGGTACAGCAACATAGACTCTGTTCTTCACTACCACTGGGTGAATCTGAATCCCAAACCTCAGTGAACCTCTCTGTATCCACACACTCCTTTCCAAGAGTTGCCTTCCTAAATACAGTCTCTTGCCCACAGACAGATGTTTGGAAGGCAATGGGAGAGGAAAGCTGCTCAGGGCCTGAACTACCCCACTGGACCTGTCTCGCCAGCTCTAGAATCACCTCGGTGTTATGCCACACCAACACCTCACAATCCTTCTGATGTGCTTCTGTTGTTTTCCACTTACATTAAGAACACAGCACACCACGCTCAACCCAGAGCAATGTGTGTTATTGCCAGTGGATTTCTACACATTTCCATGAATTTTCTGAATGGATCTGTGGTAATGAGAAGAGAGGCTTTTTAATTTTTTAATCTCCATAATCAATAGGATGGCTAATTTTCTATTTTCTTCCAGCTAAATTTAACCTAGTAATATATGAACACCTTTCCATAAGTGTCAGTGTAAGAGATAAAAAGAAAGCTGTGTTCACAGAATTGTCTTCAGAGCAAGTGGAGGGCAATTATAACATGAATACTGCAAAAGGGGAAAGGCAAGTAGTCCCTTCACATCTCTGGCTATTTTTTTTTTGGTGGGGGTGGGGGCAGCTTTTTTTTTTTTTTTTTTTTTTTGGTGGCTTCTCCTTCATTTCAAGAGTTTGCTCTTCTCACTCTATATTTTCTCTTCAGATGTATTTAATCGTTACTTTTTTTAAAAATTGTTACTTAGTTAATGGATCCAAAAGAGAAATTTTAATACAATGTCACATTGAGAAGGTCTTAAGATTCTTGGGATAAGGTAAGGAGCCAGCAATTTTGGAAGCAGCTTGAGACTTCCAAAGATATGCAAAGGGATAGAAAGAAGACCTGCGAGTTAGAAGGAAAGACTTCCCAAGGGTGCCAGAGGATTATAACCATTTCTTATCTTTTACCTGCTTTCTGTACTATTTTGACTAATGGGTTTCTTCAGCCCAGCACAGTGATCTAAGCTCGAGCTCATATATAGATCTGCCTGTTTAAGACATCTTTGCTGAAGATCTCAAACAGGACCGGATTCATGGGCATGCAGCCATCACAAGGGACTCAGGCTGGCTTCATCTTGAAATTCAAACAATAGCCTGTAAATGATTCAGCCAGTCCTCATCTCAAAGTGATGTTAACTATGACATGCCCACATCAACTTTCTCCCCTAGAACTTCTCCTTTTCCAATGTCCCCCAGGTCAACAAAGGACAGCTTTTCATCCAGATGCCCTTACCAGCAATCAGGACTAATCCTCTTTGGTCCCCGCCTATTCCTCATATTACAGACCATTAACATTCAGGAATTCTGAATTTTAGTTCCTAAGCAACTCTATGCATCTGCTTCTTTGCTACCACCTACGTTAAATGAACTTTCTCTCCTGTGTAAACTGCAGTAACTCCATACCTGATGTCCTCACCTGTACTCGAAGTCCCCTGTTCCGTGATCCTACATTCTCTTCCCTGTAGGTGCAGTGATCAGTAGTCTTTCAGACCAAGAGGTTTGCAGGCTAAAGGGAATGTAAAAGACAAAGAACACTGTAAAATGAGATAGTGTGGAATACATACTAGATAGATGAATAAATCATATGCTGTAGCACCTGAAAGGAAGACATCTCTAATTGTGACTAACGAGGGGGAGGGTTCATTTAAGGGAGGATTTTTTGGCTGTTGTTATTTTATCCTTTTAAAATTTATTCTTCTAAGTATATGCATTTGTAACGTAGTATAGAGATTGTGGAAAACAGTTTTCACCTATATTCATCAGCTTATGAATTATTTGACACCTAACCCGAAACTCATATAGACCTAAGAAAGAAATACTGTGGTCAGACTAGAAAGCCAAAAGCATCAAAATAATAAAGAAAAACTATCTGAGAAGACACCATGAAGAGGGGGCTACTGTCAAAAATGGATGCTGATAAAAAGCTTAATCAAAAGCCGACAAAGGCATCACAATCACAGTGTAAATATGATTATATTCATGCCACGGTTGTGTAAAGATTTAAAAGTTGAGAGAATTGGCTTTGGAATCATTGGAGGTAGCCCAGCATGAGGAATAAAACCTCCTCAAGAATTATGAGACTCTTCTGGTCTAAAGTTAGGGCTAAACAGGAGTTTAAGCTAAGCTACCCATTTACTGTAGTTTGGCCCAGAATCTACACCCATCATACAGTGAGTTGCATTTGGCATCAGACAAGCAAGTTGCATCTGTCCTGAGTTAAAAGGAGAGGCCTCAGAGGTAGATAAAGGTTCATATGGGAAAGGACCCACTGCTTTTATCAGATTTTAAGGTGTCTGTGATTCCTAAATGCTTAAGAATGACTTTATTAATTTTTTCATTCCTGATATTAGAGATATTAATCCTATGTGAAAGGTTCATAATAATTAAACAATATTCAATCTTTCAGCCATATTATACAGTAAACTCATTGGTGATAAATAAACTACATCATAAAGAAAAAGCAAGAATGTCTGAAACTCATTGAAAACCTATGTGAATAATGTAAAGGAAGGCAATGCGCCATTTCAGAATCAATTGGTTTTTTTGCTGCTCTATAAAACAGTCTAGTTCTGTAAATTTCATCTTTTTTTTTCTTGAAGCTATAATACATATTTTTTCTTTTTTAAAAATTTATTTATTATACTTTAAGTTCTGGGGCACATGTGCAGATCGTGCAGGTTTGTTACATAGGTGTACACGTGCCATGGTGGCAGTTTGCTGCATCCATCACCCCATCATCTATATTGGGTATTTCTCCTAATGCTATCCCTCCCCAATCCCCCCACCCCCTGCTATTCCTCCCCTTACCCCCACCTCCCAGGCCCCAATGTGATGTTCTCCTCCCTGTGAGCCATGTGTTCTCAATGGCTCAACACCCACTTATGAGTGAGAACATGTAGTGTTTGGTTTTCTGTTCTTGCGTCAGTTTGCTGAAAATATGATTTCCAGTTTCATCTATGTCCCTGCAAAGGATATAAACTCATATTTTTTATGGCTGCATAGTATTCCATGGTATATATGTGCCACATTTTCTTTATCCAGTCTATCACTGATGGGTATTTGGGTTGGTTCAAGTCTTTGCTATTGTGAACAGTGCTGTAATAAACATATGTGTGCATGTGTTTTTATAATAGAATGATTTCTAACATTATAAGGTTGTAATATATTCATTTAAAAGATATTTTAAGTATTTTATTTAAATGCCTCTTCTTAAGAAAAAAACATAATGTCAAATCTAGATTTCTACTGGTGATGAATTTTACATACCTGATACCAACCACTCTTTCCACCAGTCTTTCCCCTACAATTCATTCTTACATTGTTGCAAGATTTTACTTTCCAAAACAGATTATGCCACTTTCCTGCTTAAATATCCCCACAATGAATACGCAGTGAAGTCCACCCTCACTACAGCAGCATGTATGGCTTTCCGCCAATGGATTCCAGCCTCCTTTCCAGGCTTTTCCCAGCTTCCTGTTGGTGCCTCCATACATTAACCACCGTAGTAACATTCTGCATCAGCCACTGCATATTCAAGAACAATGCCCTGCTCATTTTCATGTCTCACTCTTTATGGGCTGTTCTCTAGCCTAGAGTGCCTTTCTTACATTTATCTATCTAGCGAGCTCCTACGCTTTTAAATTTTTTCTCTTGTGCCACATTTCTCTCTGCCTTTCGCAGCCATCAATCTCCTGAGGAAACAAATTGCTCCTTCAATCATGTTCTATAATATTATACTAATATCTCTATTATAGTATTTACTATATTGCATATTGTCAATTTTAAAATGCGCTTTTTGAAATTTTACCTTTTAACATCTCTGAAATCAAGATGTCTCTTACAATGGCAAAAGTGTTACTATTTGGTGTAATTTTGCAGTGTCAAATAAAATAATGATGCATCTTACAATCGGGAGTGTTTCAGATTACATGAAATATGGTAATTCTTTATTAGGAGTCTTCGTCTCCCTGTAGACTCTCCCTGTGAATGCCCATGTACTGCAATACTCTTATTCACATAATACATAATATATAGGTATTCTTACATATTAAAATTGCCTAATTGAGAGGGTGGTACACTAAAGCATAGAAGGTAGAAGAAATCCTAAAAGAAAGTATAACTTTGGTGAAGTCTGCATAATGTCTGTGAATTTTAACATGAATTTACTAGCTTTGATATTGTATTATAACTGTGTAAGATGCTGCCACTGAGAGTAATACAGTTAAGGCTGTATTTCTCATATATATATATGAGATATATATGAGAGATATATATGTATAGAATTTATCAAATAGATAAAATCTTACATATATGATAAACTTTTATACTAAACAGAGGTTTAATATAAATACAACCAGCATAGAAAAACCCAAAACTAAATAGAAACCAAAACCAGAATGCTATGTGGTAGAGACAAAAGGCAGAATTCTGACCCTTTGGCTCAGCTGCCCCTCCCCACAAATTAAAACCCACAAAGAGGACAAATCAGGACAATAAGGAGGACTCATGCTAAACCGTGGGAGTGGGGAAAGATATGATGTGGTGCATGTGGGACAAAGAATGGCCATGGAAGACCGCAGGGTCAGGTTGGACCCGGGGCTGGGAGGGGAAGGGCAAGGTCCCTCACCATAACTGAAGCCAAACCTAAGCTGCCCCCAGGTGTCCTGTCCCATTAGGGAGGCTGATGGGCCTGGGACCCTGCCCGTCCTCACCTTTGGGGTCCGATACTGGCCATCCAGGCCTGCTGGGTTGGGGCCTGACACAGGCTCTGCCTGCCCATTCAGACTGCCTTTAGAGAGAGAATGGAGTCACTGTTTAGCCATGGTACTGGTAATATTAAATATATAAGTATTTAATAAATAAATCATATTAAATGTATAAATATGATTTTTATATATGATATATAGATATATATATGAAATCTAAAGTCCTTTTAGCAATAAATTCACAGAAATCCATTTTAAAAGACAATATAGTTTTGACATCACTGTAGACTGAAATCAGTGTCATGTAAGTGCTCAATAACTAGTAATGGTTACAATTTTACTTGTTATTGACATGACCTTGACCTATCAAAGTTACCTTGTCCATGTAATTGGCTAACAGAATTCGGGTGCCTATTCAGAGCCTCTCAGCATTACCAGATAGTCTCTATTCCTTGATCCTACGACTTTTCTGTGCCTCTCAAAAAATAAGTAACTAAGGTCACTTTTAATTAAAAAAAAAAAAAAGTCCCATCTCATCTCAGTAGTGAAAATGTACAGTCTGTGTCATAGTTAAGAGCCCAAATCTCATTTAATGTTAAAGCTTTGTGCACTGGTTGGAACTGCTGCAATAAATAAAGAGGGTGAGTGACTTCTTTTCTGTTTATTAACCTTTAATTTACATCCTGCGTCTTCTTTTCCCTCCAAGATGCTTCTGGATTTCTAGGTTACTATAGGAGGCAGAGCAGATAATAGGTAGGAACAGGTTTTACTTGACTAACAACATGGCAAATGGCAATGGAGTCTTCTGAGGTTGAACAGTTTTTAAAGTCAAGACTCTCTGGACTCTGCACATGGAAAAAGCTGACTCTTCCTCACTGACACCTTAGCGTGTTTCTCAGGTGTAGGGGGCTTTCTGGTAGCTCTCTTGGCCAGACAATGTCTTCTGTTAAATGCTAAATGTAGCTAGCCCTCAGTACAGCCCAGTTTCTCTCTCTAGTCTACCTATTCCCTTTGAGCACTCACATGGGTCAACACCAGCCCCTCAATTTCAGGATCATTGTTAACGTCCTCAAATAACCTGAAAACCCTGACTCCACAAGGGTAAGAGAGAAGAAGCCCTCGCTTGGGGGCGAGGGAAAACTGACAACGTCACACTACCTTAACATTTTCCGAAGTAGTAGCCTCTTTACTCTCCCACTTCGACACTTTCATATGTTTGAAGTTAGTGTTGGCTGAGCCTCATAAAATCGGTGGTCTGCCAGCTCCCTTACAAGTCCTGCGCTGTTCTAATTTCTCTATCATCTAAGGTATTAGGGCCTTGACCAAAATAAAGGTAGAAATATTCCCATTTTATAGCCACCTCATCAACATATTCATATGAAAAAAGAGCATGAAATTTTAGATATCAAGAAATTCCTTTTCTAATAGCAAATGATTTTTTCCAGAAAATGATTGTTAAAATAAAAAGCAGGAACTTTAGAAGATCAAAATATTTAAGTTTCTTTCTTTTTTTTTTTTTTTTTTTTTTTTTTTTTTGAGACGGAGTTTCGCTCTTGTTACCCAGGCGGAGTGCAATGGCGCGATCTCGGCTCACGGCATTAAGTTTCTTTCTAAACCATGTCATGTATTAGTTTAAGATACTTAATCATTTAAAAATGTGTTCAAGAACATCTATATTTCTGTCAAATATGGAGAAAACTTCAATGGAAAATTAAATACAGTTACATCCAATAGTATTAACAAATATGTGCATGACAATACTTTAGCTAGTATTCAACTTCAAGCAATTATTAAAGAGAAT